AATACTCCTACAAAGCAATATATCAATAAGCTAGCAGATGAGTCAGAACGCCTTAATACACGCAATACCCTTTAAAAAAGAGAGTGTAATAACTTACGTTCAATTATCTAAAAGCGAAGAACATAGAATAAGGGTAAAAGAGCAGTTTTGAAGGGTCAATTCCATATCTCAAGGAGCTACAGTCGCAAGTTATAGAAGCAGAAGCAGCAACAGTAATAGCAACAACTTTACAGAGGCATAGAACAACACCACAACCTACCTCAATAGTTAACTTAACTAATAGTGAGAGTGAAGAAGAGAGCGAGGAGAGCGAAGATAATGATATAGATGAATTAGGGTGGTAGTAATTGAATTATTTGCAATTTTTAAAGGTGGTAGTAGTTTGATGGGGTGGTTCCAACCCCACTATGCCAGTTACGCCATTGTGCCGGTTACGCCACGACTTACGTTATAGAAACTTTAAGTACGTATCTACTATATATAAAAAGGGTAATATTACTAGTGTCTTTTTATATAAGTTAATAATAGTTTTAAGTTTTACTATATAAATATTTGAATAGTAAAAATATAAGCCTTAATATCTCTTGTAAAACAAAGCTAGTACTACTAGTGTTTATATACATGTTAGATTATTATATGAAAAAACATAATTTAAGAGGATTAAGCTTTATATACATACACTATTACAAAAGTTATTATGGTTTTAATTTTGGTTTAGTGACCTTGGTTTTGGTAGGGTGAGCTAAGTAGCCAGTCTGGCTATGTAGCTAGTCTGACCACGACTTACGTTATATAATAGCAATTTAGATGAATTAGTATTGTAGTAATTGATTTATTTACAATTTTCTAAGGTAGTAATTTAGTAGTTTAGTCCTGGTTGTTAGTGGGGTATCTAGAATTGTTGCTTATACTATAGCAGCGCTTACACCATGACCTACGTTACGCAGCCCTAAACACTAGGGTTTCATCACGTGCCTTAGATTAGCGATTGGCTACTAGATAATTATTAGAGCGAAGGCACCATCCCTAAACCTCTAAAAACAAAAACCTGTTGTCTAGTCACTTCTACCTTATTATACCTCTAGATGGATAGTAGCCATTAACAATAAGGGGTTACCCCTAATTCCTCTAGCACTATAGCAGCCACCTTTCTAGCACTTAAGATCCTCTCCTATTGTCTATATATATGTGTTCCCCCCTATCTCCTACATATAAGCTGTAACGTCTTTTAACTACAACAGTTTACTCCTCTATACCTGTTACTCCCTATAACGATAGTGTGGCTAATATTACACCCTCTTAAGGCAGAACAAGCTTGCTGTCATCATAGCCCTAGGAAGGATTGTACCCATTAATCAAAAACTACTTTAACGCCTTTATAATCATGTTAAGTGACGTTAACTAAAGCTAAAGACCAAACGCCTAGCTAGATACTACTAAAGCCTTAAAGATAATCATAATAACCTAACAACTATTATTAAAATAAAGTATGCCCCTACTATTATAGACAATCTTAAGAGTATTAGAGACAAAGTTTAAAAGGCAAGTGAACTATACGCTTAAATCAAGACGTTAGAGTAGCTACCTATCCTAACTCTTAATTAGGTTCTGTTATAATTAGCATTTAAGGGACTAGCGCTCTATGATTTAGGACTGCTTTAGAGGGACTATGATATCATTCATCTAGCATATGTATAATAAAGACTAGGTGAAGAAGAGCAGTGCGATGCTATAATATAGAGCATAGATTTATAATTCTATACAACAAAGAGAATGGTCGTCTCATGGATAGTAACGATAAGAAGGGGGTCTTAAAGGTATGCTGCTTTCTGTCCATAGCTGCTTCATTTAAAGCTGCTAATATCAGTAGCTCATAAACACGCTTGGACTAGACCCTCATGAAGCTAAGATGGGTAGTTGAACACAACTTATTTTTTCTTCGTCCTAAGGTCGGTTAGTAAGCCCGCCGCTTCTACTCAGGCGCTAATCACCCTCGGCTCACCCTCTTCCCACCGTATTCCTTCCTGCGAAATTTCGAGCCGAAGTTGCCAACCTTATCAACCTCCCTAGACCACGCTTGCCGTTATCAGCATTTTATTATTACTACGGTTGAACCCCTTAAGTAATGGACAGATTGTACGATATATTAAGATCAGAGATCAATAATAGTGTTCCTACAGTGCAGCTAACAAAGCCCACGAAATTTCCCCTCCACCTCTTCGCTTTGTCTAGCAACCCGTCGTATCACCAAGACCAATCTCTGCGGCCGCTAAGAGCAACTCCATGAACCCGGCTCCAATCTCCTTAATATTCGAATTGTGCTGCGCTTGAGTCGGGTAGAACGGGCACGAGGCAGCTGAGTTTCCAAAGCCAAACTCGACCGTATATCCATGGATGAGGTTCTTGGAAGTATCGGCAAAGTGACGTGAGTACGAGTAATCATCGCTGGCCCCCGAAGTTGGATACAAGTCCGCAGCTGGGATCACAGAATAGGTGCGCCCAGCAGCGGTGCTCATGGCACTACCAATACGTGTTGCAGCTTTGATGTTGTCGGTGTTCTCAGCTGCTGGGGTGTACTCGCCATATCCGCCATTAGTGCCTGGAGTGTCGCTCAAGATGCCCCGAACACTGTTGTATGCAGAGTTCATGAAATTCATAGTGGAGGTCTTTGACTGGTTTTCATCGCTACCCCAGCTGTACAAGACGTCTCCAGCATACGAGTGAAGATCGATGAACCAACGGACTTTGCTAAAGGTATCCATGACCCATTTGATACTTTTCGTCTCAGGTTCTGAAAACGCTGCAGTACCTGAGAGTCGAAAATTAGCTGAGAACCAAGAGAGAAAATGCGAAGATAATTACCGTGGAACACTTCAGAGGAAGGTGTAGTGGAGGCGACTTCACTCCTCACGCTTGATGCCCACCAAGACAAATCCCATATGAAGTCAAAATTCCGATTCAAATCCACGCCTATGGAGGATGCAGAGCCCCTTGACGATGCGGGGTTGCGGTTCTTGCGCCAGCAACTGTTGGAAGACTGATCATAGGCAACTCCGTCGGGGTTGCTCAAGGGTATGAAAATTATGCCAGTTGACATGGCTGTCTTCACTTGGGCGGCAGTGTAGGACTTAGAGCCAAAATTCAAGCCGACGTTGTTCTTGTTGGCGTAGAGGAGGTCCCCAATAAAGAACAGTAGACCATCTGAGGCACCTCGCTCTCGTGCGTGAATTGCAGAGTTTAAGTAAACACGGTACGCATTGTTGCATGTTCCATTGCCCCCAACTTTACCGCCTGAGATGGTTGCTCCGTTATAGGTAGTATACGGAGTCGTGAAAGTTGAGATTCCGTAAATGCTTGCGAGACCTTTCAAGCCGGAGGCAATCTCGTTGACGTTTAACAGCGAGGTCAACGTTACAGTCTGTGATCCCACACCCCGCGGTGCTACAGTACCTCCACTATAACGATCACCCGTCCCGATTGCAATGCCATTAGATTGGCGGCGTAACAGTGGTACCTTCCTCGGTAACCCTGCGCGCTCCTCAGGGAGAAGACATGCCGATGACAAAAGTGGTGCGAGGGCCGCGATATAGCACAAAGATGTGAACTTCATGACGACGGCTGAGGAGCAAGGAACAGATCAGAAAGTTGACTAAAGTCTATATAAATATATATATATATATATTCGCAGCCACTGCCCTTCAACGAGTACTTGTATGCCCTTAATATATGACATTTCGACGTAGCGGTCGATCCTGCACGATTTACCTTCTGTTTGAGGAAGCTGACAGGACGTCTACACATACTTAACCCCTAATGCTAGAGAACTAAGCCTGGCATTTGGGCAAGCTAAGAAGCTGATCGCGGGTGGTGGTCATGTATTAGGCAGGATATAAGGTATGATGATAAGATAAGGAGGTCGACAGTCTAGACCTGCCATATTGGGTCTCTACCCATGGAGGCGCTTGAGAGGATTAATGACGCGGACAATCCCGATCTAACGAACGAAGGAGAATTGCACCAGTCCTAATTACCGGCCGGGGCCGTAGGCCAAATAAAGTTACCCCTCCCTTGGCGATTACTAGTTAAAAGCGGTTAATACAGCTAATTAAGTCAAAGCATCCAACACTACTTCCGTAACATTATTTAAACTGCAACTAGCGAAAAGACGCCTTAGGGGAAAACTTATAACACAACTTCTACAATCCTACTTTTTGTAAGGCTTAGCTATATGACCTAGAAGATGTTCTTCTAGGAGTGCAGCAGGGGTGCAAGAATGCTAGGAGGGAGAAACGGTGGAGAGAGACAGTCAGGGGGGAGGGGGGGGGGGGTTGAGCTGCTCGTTTATACAACTCGAAAGCGGCATTAGGTCCGTTCACGCGCGTTCGGGCGCCAAACCCCGCAGGTTGAACACCACGATCTAGATTATGTTATATAGTAATAGTAGATATGAGATATAATTTAAAAAAGCCTAAATTACTATTAACGTAGGTCGTGGCCAGAGCGGCGCCATGGCCAGAGCGGCGACTTGGCTCACCCCACCAAAATCCAGAGCAAGAACACTAAACTACTAACTTAGAAAAATCGCAAATAATTCAATTACTACCACCCTAATTCATCTATATCATCCTCAGAAAGCTCTTCTTCGCTCTCTTCATCTATTTCCTCAATTATAGCTTCAGTTATAAGTTGTTGCGTTATTCTAGACCTCTATGAAGCTGTTGCTGCTTCTGCTTCTACTACTTGCGACTAGAGTTCTTCTGTAGAAATATAGAATTAACCCTTCAAAACTGCTCTTTTACCCTTATTCTGTACTCTACGCTTCTGAATAATTAAGCGTAAGTTATTACACTCTCTTTTTTAAAGGGTATTGTATGTATTAAGGCGTTCTAACTCATCTGCTACTTATTAATATATCGCTTTGTAGGAGTATTCAAAACACCTTAATTTAAGGCTATAGAAAGCACTATATTTGCCTTATGAAGTGTTTGAAAATCAGATAGACTGCTGTTTAAGAATACCTTCTTAAAAATATCATGCTCTATAGGAGTATAAGGCCATTCTAATATTACGTCTATTATAGGAAGCGTAGCTGCTTAAATGACTGTTTGTAGCTAGAATGGCTATAGCCTACTTCCTCTCTATATAGAAGTAATATTTAAGTTAGAAAATACTAATTCTCTTACTTTTATATATGCTTCAAGCTACTCTACTTTTTATATTTATAGGAGTTGCGCCTTATTAAGGTATAATAGTATAACGTAGGTCATGGCGTAAGCAGTCTAATGGCGTAATGCGCCTATGTACCTTTACAGCTAAATTTATATGTAATGGTACTTAGATCTTAAAATCTTAAACTTAAATAACTCTATTAATAAAATTATTAAGACTTATTCCTCTTAGACTATTACTCTTTATATACTAATATACTACAATTAAATTCGTGAGAACGTAGGCTAGTCTTATTAAAGAGTTATTTATAGTTTAAGTTTTCCTATACTAATATTTTGTATGGCAAAAGTTTAAACCTTCATATCTCTTGTAAAACAAAGGTAGCACTACTAGCGTTTTTATACATATTATATTAGCATATAAAGAGTAACAGTCTAAGAGTATTAAGGTTTATAATCACTATTATAAAAGTTATTAGGGTTTTAAATCTAGTCACGTGACCTTAAATTTGGTGGTTTGGTAACGTAAGTCGTGGCGTAATGGGTATAATGGCGTAATGGGTACAGTGTACCTTTACAGCTAAATATGTATACAAAGGTACTTATAATAATAGAATTTAGAACCTTGACTACTCCCTTAATAAAATTTGTAAGGCTTAACCCTCTTATATATAGAAACCCCATATAATTATCTACTATATGTAAAGACACTAGTAGCTCTAGCTTTGTTTTTGCATAAGTTATTAATGGTTTTAGGTTTTGCCATATAAAAATTTTGTATAGTAAATCTAAAAATGCTAATAACTTCCTTATTAGGCTAGCTTACAAGTTAGCATTTTTAAATATAATGTATAAGTATCTAAAGATTCTAAATCTAAAAGCATTAAGCTTTAATTAGCTTAGTTAAAAAGTATTAAACGTTTAAATATAGGTCACGTGACACAAATTCGCTTGTAATTTCAGTATACCCATTACGCCATTATACCCATTACGCCACGACTTACGTTAGGGTAGACTGCTTACGCCATTAGACTGCTTACGCCACGACCTAACGTAAGTCGTGGCGTACTGCGGGTAATGGCGTACTGCGGGTATGTACCTTTACAGCTAAATTTATATGTAAAGGTACTTAAATCCTAAAAACTTTTAACCTCTAATAACTCTATTAATAAAATTATTAGAACTTATTCATCTTATAAATAAGATGTTTATATACGTATACGCTATGCTTAATTACGCTATTATGTAAGCTAGCCTTATGCAGAAGATATTAACAAGTGTAGATTTGCCATACAAATATTTTGTATAGCAAATACTTATACTTCTAATAACTTATGTAACTTAATATAGTTACTTCTAGCGTTTTCACATATTAATTATTAGTATATATAGACCCTTTATATAAGAGGAATAAATTATAATAAATTTATTAACAGAGTTATTTAACTTTGAAGTTTTAGGATTTAAGTACCTTCACATATAAATTTAGCTGTAAAGGTACATACCCGCAGTACGCCATTACCCGCAGTACGCCACGACTTACGTTACGTTACACGAAGCTACAATTGAGGAAATAGATGAAGAGAGTGAAGAAGAGTTATATGACAGCGATTTAGATGAATTAGCATTATAATTGTTAACTTATTTTCGATTTTCTAAGTTAGTAGTTTAGTGGATTTTGGTGTGGTTTTCAGAATCGCCGCTTACACCATGTCGCCGCTTACACCATGACTTACGTTACCCCTTTAACACCTGCTTTGTAACCCCATTTATCCTTTGTGCCTCAACTCTACGTCCTAACTTAACACATAAGTTAGGATGCCTTTGAATAAATTGTAGAACCCAATCTTGCCTAAGAGGTAACGTAAGTCATGGCGTAACCGGCACAATGGCGTAACCGGCACAATGGCGTAACCGGCATAATGTCACTTTACACTGAACTTTGTATAGAAAGGTACTTACTTCTAATGATTTTTGAAATGATCATAACTTTTGCACTTTTGACTGTACAGCTTAGCTCTTTTGTATGGTAATAGTACGCATATTGTTCTATTATGTATAGAAGCTATAAAATATTCACGACCTTATTAAAAAAGTTGATTTTTTTTGGTGAGGGAACAACACATGATTATGCCGGTTACGCCATTGTGCCGGTTACGCCATGACTTACGTTAACTTAGGAAGTATTTGAGGTTGTTGTTGTTGTTGTTGTTGTTGTTGTAGGTGTTGTTAAGGCTGAAAAACGCAACACTTATTTAATTGGACTTCATCTGCAACCTCACGTAATATCCGATGGCTAGGAGCGTAGCCGCTTGTAGTAAGCTCTTTAATCCACTTTAAGAGGGGTTTCTCTTGATTTTTAGATAGGAGTTGATGCTTCTAATGGGATTTGCAAGCGTTCTACATACACTGCTTATGCGCCTCCGCACAGTATCTGGCCTAAGTCCTAAGGCAGTAGCTGCAGCTTGTGCAGTTTTATATTTACCATTTTCTACTCCTAAAACAGCCTTAGAAAGTAATATATCACGCTCTTGAGCCTTAATACTCCTTTTCCTAACCATATTAATGATATAATAGTTGATGGTTGATAGTAGTATGTTGGTGTTCTTGCTCTGGATTTTGGTGGGGTGAGCTAAGTCGCCGCTCTGGCCATGGCGCCGCTCTAGCCACGACCTACGTTATACTTTAAGTTATAACATACTATATTATTATAGAGCAGCTATTATTAATTACTAGAATATATCCATAAGCTAGCTCTCTTTATTTACTACTACTTTAAAACTTATGTCCTAACTTAGAACAACTTAGGTTGAATTTAAGTAATGTTATTCTTCTTAAAACTAATGGTTATGAAGGTAACTGCTTTGTACTGTTTCTAGAATATATATAGAGAAGGAAGGCCTCTAACCTAAATAATTAAGTCCTACTCTAAATAGTAGATGAAGAAGATAACAACAACAATAACACACGTAATAACTTAAGACAATTTAAGGTCATTGCTTTTACACTAGCAAGCTTAATAAAGGCAAGCTTTTAGAGTGGCAGCGCACGTAGCAACAATGTCACGTGTAAACAAACAAACAAACACTTACATGATAACCTAGAACACATGTAGAATAATAGTATGTTAGTAGGTTTATATAAAAGGAAACCCCTAATATATAATTAAACCTTTAGAAATAGACAAAAAAAATCCTTCTAAGACTTAACGTAAGTC